TCGTGAGGTAGGAATTAAGAGTTTAAAATTCAAGTAGGGGGAACAGCCACACAAAAAATGGCAATGGCTTCATAATAAACAAGTTATTTTGACAATAACTCAAAATTCTGGCATGATCTAGTAGTTAGGGCGCTTTACTCGCAATCTGCGAGTTGTCAGTTTGAGTCTCGTGACCAAACATGCTCGCCCTTGCAGCCGTGGGGACGTAATAACGTAATAGTTAATCCTACTATTCGTTGGTAAAAGATTAGCCTTAGAATTGGCGGTGGGTGGTGTCGACTAGCTGTCTTCCCTGTAGTCTATCACTTCTAAATCAGAGACAAAAAATATATAACTAAACCATCTCGTGTCTCGTTTGTCTATACATTAGTCAACTTCCCATTCGTTTCAACCACCTGCAAGAGTCTGGATCTGTGAAAACCGATTGCAGCTGCGAATACACCAACCCTCATTGTGTAGTTTTAGGCTTAACTTCAGACTAACATGATAATCAGAGTGGCAGCTTTCCACTAACGATTTAATAATAACATTATATATACAAACAAAGATATTCAGCAATAATTTTTAAATTTTCAGCAATTATCAATGATTTAAAGAAATCGAAATCCCTGTTAATTACAGCTTCGATTTTCACATTAAAACAGACACTTATATCAACATTTTTATTACGTACTGAACAAGGAAACATTACGGTCTACATCTGGGTGTTCAATGAAATTGTTGACCGTAGCTGCTGCTAGTGTTAACCTTTATTTTTTATGTTATTTATTGATATTTACTATAATATCAATAAACTGTGATTTCAAAGTCATGCAGTCTTTCTGGATATATATATCAATCACTTGACTGAATTGGCTGTAGGCCTATGTAGTTGTTTCTCGTTAATCTAACTGTATTGGATGTAGACCTATGTAGTTGTTTCTCGTTAATCTAACTGTATTGGATGTAGGCCTATGTAGTTGTTTCTCGTTAATCTGACTGTATTGGCTGTAGGCCTATGTAGTTGTTTCTCGTTAATCTGACTGTATTGGCTGTAGGCCTATGTAGTTGTCTCTTGTTAATCTGACTGTATTGGTTGTAGGCCTATGTAGTTGTTTCTCGTTAATCTGACTGTATTGGCTGTAGGCCTATGAAGTTGTTTCTGTGATGACTGATATCCCACTTCTTTTTTTTTATAGCCACTTCGCTGCAAGACACTACAGGTATTAAATGTTATCGTTTCAAGTAACAGTTAAAAAGTGGATAACAAAAAAATACACAATAAACGAGTTTAGAATAAAACATCAAAAAGGTGGATTTGTGTGTTTTATGGTTTCATTCAAGTGCTTATTCAAATTATTTATGAAAGTAAAGAACTTTAATAAAATAATTGATTTTATAATCTAGACAAAATTCGAGTTTCAATTGTAAATAGAATGTCATGGGACATTTAAATCCTTATGTATAAATACTTTTCGGTTGTGAAATCGTGGCCTACAGCCTGCCTGTAAGACAAAGTTCGACCACGTACCAAATTATCAGGAGTTTCTCAACCTTACTTCTGAGAGTCAAGAAATTACTGGAATCAAATTAGTTGAATTTACACAACGAGTACAAGAAACCTGTAATAAATACTTACCAATTATAGCGTGGCCACATCGGTCCAGATATATCATTTTACTGGCCCTCCCCTAACCTCGGGTAGATCTGTGCATTCTTATTACAGTTTTGTTGTTATATTTTAAATAACCGATGAAACCCGATTTATTTTTTCAGGTACAGAATTCTAACTCTATTCTTGAGCTTAAAATGCCTCCCCTTCAACCTCTTAGTAGAGTAAGCATACCGAATTTAGAAATTAAATAATACACGTGAACATTTATTAGACATACCAAGTTTTACACATTTTTCTTTGTTTATAGCTTTATAATAGCTTCTGTTTAGAGTTTTTAATAGGAATGAAACGTGAATACATCATAACATCTCAATTTTCGTTGTTGAAATGTAGATCACAGCTTCAAAAAACATTTTAATAAAACCGTAAACATTGAAACTAATATACACGTGTTTAATACCAAAGCTTTTAAGTTTGTTTGTTATTTTTTCAATTCCACAAGCTAAAAGATTTTGTTCTTCAATACTACAGTACAAATACCGAAAAACTTTCCAAATATATAATTCAGATATATTGAAAAAATATATTTTAGGAACATCAAATTTCAGTAGCGGTGGATACTCCAAATGAAACACAAACACACACACACACACACACATATAAAAGCAAGTTAAATAATATTCATAAATTATTTCACATTAAATAATGAATTTAATTTTCACTTATACGTGTATGTATAAAAATTCACGAAACTTTATAAATCTTATTTAATAATGTTTACACACTATTTATAACACGTAATCGTAGCCCATTCAGCAACCACAACTTGAATTATATTTAAAAAAAACATCTTTTAAGAGGTTTAGACTTTAATTGGTTGAAATAATACTTTGGTAGAACTAAAGTATAAAACATACCAAGAAGACATTCTGTAATTTTATTTTATCACAGGTATGTTCACCTGGCCTGACATGATGAGCCAAGCTGTAGCACCTAGGATAGTAAAATCTCAACAGATGTGGTGCAATAACGTGTGCTGCCATCTGTACGACGTTAATCTCAACACGTCAGTAAAATACTAACTGCCTCAGACTGCTGGTATAGCTGAAGCTCTTATACCTCCGTTTGTGAATTGATCACTCGCTACAGTTAACATCACAGAAAAAATAAATACATGTAAACCCAGTGAAACAAGGACTATTACACTTAAATTCATAACAACCTAACTTAAAATCTGTGCAGAGAAAGAACACAATTCCTTCAGGGCAGATGGAAGAGCTATAGATAAACACTAAACTGTACTGGAGAAAGTGTGGCACGTATTGCGTAGTCTGTTCCACGGAAATTCCGCTATTAGCCTCTTCAGTGTAATCTCCATTAGCTTCTAGAAAGTGGCAGGAACATTACACTTGTCAACTAAGAAGATTCCAAACTCGTAGAAACCATCTCGAAGTAGTCTTAGGCCTACTGTTGTCACCTTGTTCAATTTTCTAATATCTAGATGTCACTGGGTTACCGTTGCTGTGTTGAATTCTGATTGAAATGTTGAATCAGTGGACACCTCTTAGTGTCACCAAACATTCATCTGTCCACGGGAGTGAAAAGGCATCAACATAAAGTCACAACATTCACCCATCTGAAGTGAACACAGAACCTCGATGTACTATCATTCTTCCTGTCAATCACCACTAGAGCTAGTCAGTAGTACATCATAAAAATGATTTGTAAATTCTGGAAGTACTATGTTTCCCTCCTCAATATGCACTCGCGCAGTCCACTATCTTGGGCCCCGATCTGGCTAGCACTGGATGTTTTTACCAAAATGGAGTTCACTTGTTGCAGTTGCAAAACTGAATGACATTCTGCTTTATAGATCAATCCAAAAGATCCTAATTCCTGAACCAAGATGGGAGACAAGTACCTTCATGCTGTGGGTGGCATTATCTACTTCCATTCACAACTGGCCAATCATCATTTGACAGATCAACTGATTGGAGTGGTGCCTTCATTTAAAAACTTTCGATAAGCTATACAGTTTGCTCTTTTAAGCTATGAGAGAGAGAAAAAGAATGGTAATTTTCCAAATACAATAGATTTTGTTGTCCAACAACAGGACGTTCTGAAGGCATTCAGACGTAAAACAAGTGAATCAGGAATCAAAGAGAAATTGTACAGCAATATTAGACAATTATATAAACTAGAAGAAACACCCGCCCTCTGGACAGGTACAACTGGTAGTTCCTGTGGAAGGCTATTGCGGTCAAGTTAGTATCTTTATTGCAACAGTACTTCTTTAAATACAGTATTTATAGAATAATGCAAAATAATTCTAATCGCAGACACCGAAATTTGTAACTTATGTTATAAGTCCTCTTGTTTCACGTCTAATATTAGTTGTCTTTACGGCTTATATTTGTTAAAGAGATAAATTAACACTATAACTTGTGTACATTTTTTTGCTTTAATTAGGGCTAAATTTCACCGTACTTAATACTATCAATAAAAAAAACTTATAGTGTTATTCTACGACCTTACATCAGACCTTTTTAAACATTTTGTTGTGAGTTTAATATGTGTTTGTACAAAATATATACTAACGTTTATTTACATCCGCCCTTTGTTTACGTCCGTTGAAACACGAGCGTACGCATGCGCATTTAGATAGAATGGTGCACGCGCATTTTCAAGACAGACAAAAACTGAGTATTTTAAATAATACTAGAAATAACCCATCATAAAACACCCAGTTTGTTATTTTTCTTTAATTAGACATTCAACATTTCACTTTACAACTTTTTCAAGAGCGTTCCGTTAAAACAGAAGTTATTAATGACAGTACAAAGCTTCAAATGGTTTGAAGGATAAATTCTAATCCAAATTTAGTGTTTTAAGGTCGTTAATTTCTAGTTATAAAATGTTTTTATACACTAATGTGCACAAGAGAAATTAAAAACTGAGTATTATTATTATAATAAATAAAATAAAGACTATATATCCCGAATGTATCTTTATTAACTTAATGTTTTGCCATTACAGCTTCATCAGGAGCTATCGATAACCAACAAATTCGCTAATACAGACGAAACTAAATTGGAACACCATCATCAAATAATCGAACATAATTTTTATTTTTGAATAATTAACAAATGGCTTTTAATGTATTTGTATGCTCGTTACACCGTACAAGCGAATACAAAATAATCGATTAAGCCTACCGCTTTTGAATTAAAGGTTGGTTGTACAAATTTGATTTTATTGCACAGCCTAAAAAAAGTGCAGTGTTTGCTGATAGACATCAACCGAAGTAAACAGGTACCTCAATTTCATGGCTTAAGTAAATTTTCATTAGTCTTAACTTTAGTATCTTGATAGGTGGCGCAACATTATTTCCGTTTTAATGAGTTGACGAATGAGGCTAGTACAAATCACCAGAATTTGTGATGCGATAACACTTATGTTCATTGATAGTCGGTTGAGAAAAGGAAGTATTTATAAGAATAAGCCGTACAATTTTGAATAATAATTTGTTTATGACAATTACTACAGATAATGGCGTATTACAATGGTTTTTCAGTTTCATTATTAATATTAGTCTGTAGTTTCACTTTTACTTTCTGTATGAATAATGAAATTGTGAATGACAAAAAAGTGGCAAGTGCTAGGGTAGAGGTAAGTAGTGTGGAAAATTCATAAACCTAAGTCATAACTTTAAAAAATCTCTGTCTGTTCGTCTTACTTTTATTAACTTTTTATCGATTACCTGTCTCAGATGCAGATCTCAAGCTGAACTCCTATAAGTTAAACCATCAATTAGTGTCGGATTATTCTTTGGTGTGAAACTTTGAATTGATTATGATAGCTCTAACTGATATAGTCATGCTATCAACGTATCATCATATTTCCCTTTCAGAGTTTTATGTTGCAGTAATTAACTAATTAATATATTTGAAGCTGGTAGAAATACCCATGAGGGCCACGACTCTTCAGTTTTAGCTAACTTATGTTACTTGTTAGTAAATTCACATTTAAAAAATCAAGAAGATAATAGTATTTAAACTTCGTTTTCCACTAGTTTTAAACTATTAAATTTAAAGTCAAATCGCCATGGCCATGTTACAGTCAGTTAGAGTAACTGGAAATTTGCATGTGGCACTGGTAATAATAGTCATATTACACTTAATAGTTAAGTGAGTTACTTTACTTGAAGTGAATTTTCAGACTGAAAAATACTTATAAAAGGTAATTCTCTCTTAACAGAGTTGGTTTTAATGAGAATGATCTTTTTCAGAGTTGTGGTGGATGACGTTTGAATCGTCTACCGGAAGTGAAACGGTTTATTTTCACTGACATTCCATTGTTGTATCCTTTTAGATTTGATTTTTAATATTTTTACAGAAATAAAAGAGAATGTTATAATGATTTTTTTTGGCAAAATGATTGTTGATAGAGTAGATTTACTTGTGTTTTCTGGTTACTTTTTATGGCTTTTAATGGTTGGTTTTAATTCAAAAGTGGTAGGTTTAAGAGCTTATTTTGTGTCCACCTGTACTGTGTAACAAACGTACAAATACATTAAAAACCACTTGTGGCATTTCATGTACCTAATGATTTACCCCAAACAAATTTTAATTTATCATGGAGTACATGAGTTTGCAAGTTTATAACTAACAAGCTGAGATACACGTCCTTTGTCCGAGTTATGAACTTAAGAAACGTGAGGATGGATGCTATGATAAATAACACAAAAAATCCTAACTTTCACACAATTTTACTTATAATATATTATTACAGTATTCATTATTAACTCGCCAAAAGTTTTGTATAAGCTTTAAGAACTCGCTATGAATATACTTTAAACATGGTATACACTGTGTGATGGTCAGGATGACTTTGTAGGAAGTAGTAGTGGTGGTAGGGGTACTTACAACACTCAGCTCTTAATGTCCTTCCACAGTGTTTCATGTTAGTAACTAATTGATGGTCATTGCCCACAAAAGTGTCTTGAGGGTCAGAGTAGGAAGTGGGTATACCTCAAGAAAGGACTCTTCGTATGAGCCTTATGGTGGCTCTTGGGGTAGAAATTTCATCTGAGTTTATGTATTATTGCAATAGTGGCAGCCATTTGTTTCATTGCATTCCACCATAAAGAGGGCTAGTACACTCTCTGAGATATATATATATATATATATATATATATATA